CTGTATTATATTTATACACACGTATTAATAAACAAATTAAATGAGTGTACGAAAAAATGGACACTGAATTATAATATGCAATATGATTATTTATTTATACTATTTTTTAATTTTCAAAACTATCTATGCGTATTAGGAAATCTATATGATTTAAGTCTAAAAGAGTTATTATTCTCCATCGCTAATTAATGGTAACAGAAAGAACCGTGTTATTAATTAAGTTATTGACATAGTTATTATGTTATAGTAAAATTTTTAATTAAATAATATCACACGTTTAGCTTATATATTATAATATTATAATAGGCAACTAAGAATATATATTATATAATATTTTTTGAATTTGAATTTAATACAATAATAATAATAATATACTAAATATTATAATATTTTTTATAATGGGTAAATAATATTATATAAAATATTTTATAATTGTCAGTAAAATCAATACACCATAATAGTGGGATGTCGATCATAAAAAATATTTATCGGTTTGGTGGGCACAGGATATTATCATGCAAAATGTCATGTCGAACCTTTTTAACGCGTGACAAGTGACGACGTTTTACCAGCTGATAATTTCTACACTGATACCCGCAGCGATGAGAGTTTTTCAACACGTTTAAATATGTATGAATTATTATAACTAAGACAATATTGACACACCACAACATACAGTATTATACATACATAATACATATACGCTATAATTTAAATTCACATTTATTATAAACATGCAATGCGCTATTATATTTTCTATTGTTATATTTTTGTTTTTGAATTAATAATTCAGCTTTAACGTTACTTGATTAATTTTGAATTGATTATTTAAGTAACTTTAACGTACATAATACAATAAAAACAAGTTTCATGTTTTTTTCAATTAATATTGAGTAAAACAGTCATAATACTAGGGTCATTGTTAACTTAAATACAATTTGAGCTGAATAAAACATTTTAGGACAATAATTAAAAGAATGATATTAATATCAAGTTAAGTTCAATGTTTTGTTTTAATTTTTAGCTAGGTCTTATCAGTGTTTTAAACAAAAATAATTCAAAATTAAAATTAAATAAAAACTACAAATATAACACGTAATTATTATGGATATAAAAATAAAAAGTAAATGTATTTCTTAAATTTAAAATTTAAATTATTAAATTTTTCTTTTGACTCAATTTAAAATATTAATATAATTAATATAATACCTTACGCAAACAATAAATAGCAAGTTGATAAAAAAAAAAGTAAATGATTATTTATTTTTTTATTCTAATGTGTTAAGACTTTACCATCGGCATTTATTTACCTACTTTTAAATTAGATCAATAAAATAAAATAAAATAATTTACAGTGATTTAAAATTTTTACTTAAGTTTATAATAAGAAAAAAATATACAACGTCCGTGTTTTCTTCATTAAATATATATATATTAAAGAGAGGCTACTGGCTAGGTTAAAAAATATTATTATATTATTAAATAGTTATAATTGTAACTTATATTTTTCATCTAAATTAATACCGATCATTCTTAAAACTATTATCTAAACTTCTTTAAATATTATAATTTATTCAAAGTATAATGAATCGAAAATTTGATTTAAAAACTCCATAAAAAGTGTTCCATTTCAAATTTTCCAAACGCCTAGAAAAAATAAAAATATTACAATGAGTTTAAACATTATTTTATAGAAGTAGAAAACATTATTTGCGTATTGTTCGATCCGTTTGTCCATTGTACCCACTTCACGTTGCCCCGGGTCTTGGACATATGATCCACGACCGCGCTCGGTCACTCTTAATGTTGGTGACACTGTTGCGCCCGCCGCCCTGGTCCGGGTAATGATGCGGACGCCGCCGCCAACGGCTCTTTTGTTCGTTCGTTCTGCTCCGTCGTCCGTTATTCACGTGCTCTCGTCTTTTTGCAAATCGCATAATTTGTTCAATTTGTTGTGCTCCCAATATTAATGGTGATTACACGCTCCAATCTCACCGTTCGCTCGTGCTCAGCCATTTAATCTTATATACGTGTACGTGATCCGTATTCGCGTGTACTGCAGTTCGGCGCTCTCCGACATCCACGTGGTCGATTCCAGCTCCGGAGGTTTTCCACAGCTCAAGAACGAAAAGCAGATCAGCTTCCTTTCGTTGAAGTTCATCATCGAGGTCCAGCTCTCTTCAGGGTGGTGCTCCCCATTCCCCCCATATACATATATATATATACGTTATTAATGGTGCTCTCCTTATATTGTTTGTTGTAATATATATATATTCCGTATAATTATTATTATTTGTTCACTTAATTAATTACTTCGTAAGCTCCCCCCATCACTTCCAAGGTTCCGGAGGACCGTGTGATCAGTGACAACCTCGATAGGTGTTAGAGAGGCTCACTGACGCAACACGTATCGTATGATATATCTATTATAACGTCGTAAACAGTAAAAACAACATAATGGTTTACTCTGAATCTATTAAATACGAATAAGAAAAAAAATATACAGTAACTCAGTGTTGAGCATCGTTGCGCTAGTAACATTGTTGCCATTAGTGAGACCAATATTAGATTAGGTAGGTACGCATTGAATTGACATTAAAACATTAAATAATATTTTATCTTTATGGTAATGAGTTTAAAATATGTACATTATTTTTTGTTTACGTTTAAAGTCTTCATTTAAATTACTATCTATTTTGATTGAATACTTTTAAATAGTGATTGAATTATAGTAGTAATTATAGTATATAACAACTAGTTATTTATGTGCACCTGTACTAATAACATAATTACACTTCATAAATTATAATTTTAATTAACAGTTATTTGAATAATTTTGAATTGCTCTTTAAAAGAACACGATCTATACAATTCAATACAATAACTTTAATTAAAGATTATACGTTTTAATATTCTAGTAATAAACAATTTTTGATGTATCCACAATTTTACTAAGCAATTAGTATTTACTATTTTTCTCTGTTGTTTTGCAAATATTAAAATCCTTACTTAATATGTTTAGAAGTATTGATTTTAAATGCTATATAACACTAATTATTTTTTTCGTTTCTTCTTAATCAAAATAAAAAGTAATTATTTTGAAACAATGCAATTATGTCTTTTGATCTAAACAAATGATCCAGAATGATGTCACATAGTTAATTTTGAAATAAATATTAAATTTAGTTGGTACTTACATTCTTTGAACACATAATTGAAGCCATCTGGTTTATGTTTTCAACTTCAACTGTGAAATAATTTTGTTATATTATATTTAATATTACAAATTGTTTTTTAATTTTTTTTATTTTTACCATACTGTGTATTTATTTTACAAAAATATTTATATTTTACAACAGTTCTTTGGGTTCCAAAGCCATGCTTCACTTATATTTAAATATGATGATAATGTATTATTTTATTATTTTATTTTTTTATTATGATAATGTATTATTTCATTAAATTTGTTGTTATTTTAGAATACTTAACTAGGTATCTGAATTTTTGAATTCAAAGAAAATATATTTAATTTGTCTAATACATTTATCAAAATAAACTATTTAAATATGTCTATTACCTTAGTATTTAATCGAAAAATAAAAAAATCGTAGATATAAGAAAACATGACATATTTAAAATTTTTTTTTATTTTACATGTATTAAAACATGTAAAATACAACATGATCAATTACTATTTTTATTAGGGGTAATGTTTAGGAGAGAATAGGGGATAAGTTGAATATAAGCAATAAGCATATTATATGCATAATGTTATACTGTTCCGTTTCTACATGAAGAAAAAAATCAATTTTATCTTAACAAATGTATGTAACAAATTAATTGCATAAAATTTAATAGCAACGTATAAAACTATAAAGTATAAAATTTACATTCACATTATACACATATTTTATGAATTTTTCAGTAGCGTCTGACGTCGAATACAATAACAATATAATACAAATAAAATAGTAATATATTAATTGTAAATATTATTATATGTGAAAAACTATTCCATAAAATATCTACTAAATGGGGATACATAATGCATTGTACCGGAACCATCAATCAATGTTCACCGCTAATTATAATTCTGTTTAGGTACTTAATGTTATAGTATTTTACTCTACACGACGATAATATAACGTTTTAACATGGTTAGTAAAGTTAACATTATTTTTATTTAGTTTAAGTTTAGTTTTGTATAAACTCGTAAATACATTTTTTTTTTTTTTTTTTTTACACGGTATATGCATCAAAAAATTTAAAAACGTTTTCTTAGAGTATAACAATTACTATTAATTATTTATGCTTGCAGACTTATCTAGAATAAGTAGTTCAAAAAGCGGGAATGGACTTATATATACAGCGTACATTACAATATTCGTGTAGTCTAATAGTTAAATTTCAAAAAAATAATAATAGTCATAGATACCTATTGGCAAAATATAATTTTATTCAAAACGAAATTTTAATGTAAAGTAATAAATAAAAACATATTTATGTTAGCAAAAGATACAGAGATATTAAAATGTTTATGACGTTTACGGAAGAAATAACTCGTTGAGTCAATTAGCACAATTATTATAGAGATTATAGTAAAAATCTCTAAAACGCGTGTACACGAATACATACTATCATATTAGGTAATAAATTACAATTAAACAAGGTTTGACCACATCCTCAACGGTAGTGGTGTATATTATTAGTACCTATCTTGTGGTGGTGATTACGACTTGTAATAACAACGACACTGACGGCCATAAAACCGGATGCTATGGCCTATTATAAGCTCCTAATAGAAATTAAAACAATTCGGTAGACCCCCCCCCCCCCCCCGAGCTACATAGTCCACGATCACTTAGGTATTACTAACCCTGTTAACGAACGTGAGACCGCACGAATGTCGGGCAGACGCGAAAACGTGATTTATTCGCAGTTGTCTCTTCGCAATAACATCACTTTTGTTTATTTATTTGCTCATGGTTTTTATTTTTCAGGTCTAGTCGACCGAATCAATTGCATTTGAACACGGACCAACAATAACACACCGGACGTTGGTTTTTCGACCCATACTCCTCGGAGCAGATCGCGCAAAGTCGAACGCCGTCGTCGCCGCGGCCGACGCGCCAACACCGCCGCGGTACTCGACGTCGCTGTCACCCGCACACTCGCCGCCAAGCACCTCCTCGCGCCCGACGGTATTGCGATACCTCCGCGGTCACCGGACCCGCGATATACGACGTGTAGACCGCGAACGATGACGGCGACCGCCACGACCACAACCGCCACCGCCGCCACCGCCGCCGCCAGCATCCGGTCGTAGAGGAGCCGTCACGGTATCGGCAGCGGAAGTGGTGCGGCGAACCGGAAGCGGGACAGTAGTGGTAACGCGAGGCGCTGGCGCGGGGCGCGGGCGGACCGATGGACGAGGAAAACTACACGGCAATAGTGCCCACGTACCTGTCCGGCCTGTTCGACTTCAACGGCACGGCGGACGGCGGCGGCGTCGTCGGCAACGACACGGACAGCGCCGGCTACCTGAACGTGACCACCGAGATGCCCGTCCGGTACGCCCGGCCCATGTACGGGTTCGTCATGCCGTTCCTGTTGCTGGTCACCATCGTGGCCAACACGCTGATCGTGGTCGTGCTGTCCAAGCGGCACATGCGCACGCCCACCAACGTGGTGCTCATGTCCATGGCCCTGTCCGACATGTTCACGCTGCTGTTCCCGGCCCCGTGGCTGTTCTACATGTACACGCTGGGCAACCACTACAAACCGCTGTCGCCGGTCGAGTCGTGCTACGCGTGGTACGCCATGAACGAGGTCATACCCACGCTGTTCCACACCGCGTCCATCTGGCTCACGCTCGCCCTGGCCGTCCAGAGGTAAGTGTTGCGCACACACGCGCGCGCGCGCGCACACACACACACACACGCGCGCGCGGACGACGCGTGTCGTTGTTGAGGTTCCCTCGCGTATACGCCATGACGCGACGTCCACAGCCGCACTCGAGTTCCCCGGGGGCGTACAGGAAATTATCGTTACGTTTTCCGGGACTACATTTGTTTTTCGGGAAAACTTTTGTGCTGGGAAACGGATTATTGCGTCTGTAGAAATAGTAGGATTACGCTGAATGTAAACACCTTATTTTTCCAAACGGCTGGCAGTTTTTAAGGCTCATTGAAGACTGACGAAGAGAAGTCGCAAAACGAATAATAGCGTTTGTCTGAAAAACAATGTACTGTGCAGCTTGAAATCACTCGAAAAAATAACACGGCTATATAAATAAATAAGAAATGTATTTATATATTTTATTTTTTGTCAGTTATTCAGTGGCTTTTAGTTAAATGCTTTAAGAATAAATAAATTCGATTTGTGATATACCTAATTGTAAGAAACTGTAAAATAATATACAACTTTACTAAACAAATATAATATGTTCCTACTTAAATAGTTCGCATATTACAATTATTTTAATGTTACTTTCTTTCTTTGTACAAGTAATAAATTACAGTTAAATTAGTATATGGTTATTGTAGTTCTTAAAAGATCCAATTATTGCCGTTGGTCTATAATAAGACTGGAAAATATTTTGCCATTTGAAAATAGCGATTTATAGCGACTAGTTCGCAAACGAACTTTATAAAATAAAACCTATTCTTTTTGCTAAAAACACTGATTTTCTTACAACATAGACATACGGAAAGTATACTTATTACTACGTAGGTACATATAAATTTAAGAATTTGAAATTTATTACTCAGGAAAATACTGCACTGGAATTTAAAAATAGGTAAAATATTACACTGAAAATCAGAAAAGTATTGCAAACGAAAATATTATACGAGCAATTTTTAACGTTTTTCTGTCAAATTTTCCGTAAATTAGAAAAATATAAGGTGATATTTTACATATAAGTGCTAAGTCATTTCAAATTGAAATGGTTTTTATTTTAAGATTATTTTTGTGCTTTGCAATATGTAAGCGTCAATATTTGGTATAGTAACGAAACGTGTATTACTTCTTTAATCATATACACAAAAGCTATTTTTAAAGTATTTTTTTTCTAATTTAAAACAAAACCCTCTGGAAAACAACGGAAAACCAGAAAATAAACAACGGAAATTATCGGATATTTTCTTATTTTGTTTACTCCAGTTAAAAAGTACATTAGGTTGTGATCCTTCAATAGCAAAATATAATATCTTAATTTATAAAACCTAAGAACTATCATGATTATAATTATTAATATAGTACAACTGTTATTAAAATATTAAAAAAAAAAAAAAAAAAAAAACCAGACAAACAAAAACAAAATAATCAATGTTTTTGTTGACAGTTTTCTTTAATTTAATACTTCTCTTAAACTATTCCATTCTTAATAATTATATTTTGTAAAAAATCAATAAAATGTTTGTTATCAGTTATTCTAGTAGAATACTAGCGATAAGTTTTACTTTCTTTGTAAGCTCCATAAGTATCCTTAGATTTTCTTTTTTTTTAGAAACATGCATCAATCGACTGTCCATCCTGTCAGCTCTTTAAGAAATACAAAACTTAAAAAATGGCTTTTGGTCACAAGTATTCAATAAAATATCCTTAATTGAATTAAGATTGAAGGAGAAAAAATTAGAATAGTCATACTTAATAATCGATCAATATACCTAATTAGAGCACACTAATAATATATCTGATAGTATTTATCCATTACATTGTTTATAGTAGTTCTTAATGATATAAATCGAATTTTCCATGATTTTACCTACTCGTATAATAGTATGTATTCATGCATAGGAAACTTTAGTGGTTTTCTATCATTAAAATGGGCGAGACCGAAGAAAACAATAAAATTCGACCCATTCTGTACATTAAACTACCATTTCGTGTATAGTGTATCAGTGTATATTATAACTATTATACCTACCTTTCCCCCATCGATCAGCAGACATCACAAACATTGTCGAACACTCAAAACCATGTACAAGATAATATAATACCCGATAAAATATTATCGCCGGTATATTTTGAGTGAGTCCTGAGGATTGTAGCTACAAATTACCATATTTTTACTTATTTATATTGTATTATTATAACACTCGATTCATGAGTAAAACATATTGTGAATGGATACAGAAATCCGTTCAAAAAGTATAAACATCTTTTTGAAATGATTTTGCCGCGATACCGTCAAGCGTCGGACACCTTTAACGGACACCCCCTCCCTCCAAAAAAAAGTGGTATTAGGTACTCTTATAAATGTTACGAATATTAAATTTTACTCTCTATATAAAAATACACGGAAAAGGCGTAGCAAAGGTAACGTTTTACGACACCATAGTAGAATACATTTTTCGAAGTTTGCATTTTATTACTATTGATAATGTTCATAAAGAAATATATACCTGTATAGTATAATACCCCAACTTGCCGTGGTGAACTTGTATTCTATAAAAAAAGAGAAAAAAGTTCTATTGTGCAGTGCATTGACGCCAAAAGTAGACCCACATAAAATTAAAACGTTATTGATTTTCTTTATTTTTATACCAATGATTTTCAAAATTTGCACATTTTCTTAAATATTGAAACTTATTTAAATTTCGTGCCATGCATTTTCTTTTACAAACAGGTGCCTTTAGCTTATACAGGAGAATATAGTTCTAAATACTATTCCTCTCACACCCGTTATATTCACAAATGATTAGTTCTTCAATGCCTATAGATACTTTCAACTTCTAGCACAAATAGGTTTTGCTCAGGTTATAATATTGTTGTAATCTTTTAAATTAAATTAAATTAAATATATTTTCTGTCATACTTAAGCTACTATAATATGAATTTTAGTTTCTACTGCAATTTTTACTCATTACTATTATAATATAGAGAATACATTTTGTCATACTAAATTTATTAAACATCATAAAATTTAATTGTTTTTGTATTACTATGATTTTTTATAATTGAATTTCACATTTTACACTTACATTTTAATTGTTAATGCATTTCATATTATAATCAATCGATTCAAAATTTTATATTTGCTTTTTGCACCAATGAATAGTCGGCGTTCCAAATAACATTTGATTTTTATCGTTTCTACTTACGGTAGTTTTTTGTCGTAAAAATATTAGCTTTATCATTAAAACGATTGCGTTACAAATCAAATCACTTTCGATATATGAGTATATGACCTATACGATTACTATAATATGGTTAGAGAAATTGTATTATTCTGCGTTTTTGTATGTTACAAAATTGAAGAGTAGTTTTTGATGTGAACTGATATACATTAGAATTACTTAAATATGTTAAATCAAAGATCATGTTCATGTAAAATTATAAAATATTTGATGAATTAATAAATATTTTTTCTAAAATTATATAATGTATATAACAATGAACCACTGTTGTGAGTTTATTAATACGAAAGGTTTTAAAAATAATTGAAAAAAAAAATTCAAAATTGTACAAAGGATTACACTCTTCAAAATAATAATACAATCAAATATGGCCTGTGGAGAAATAAGAAAGAAAATCGTACTTGTTGTATACTGTGTATGTGTTACTCCACTTTATGCTTTTAAGTATGTAACATGACACTGAAAACATTTAAACATTTCGTAAAAATGCCAAGCACACAACTATAACACAATTTGTATTTGGTTGTTTGTAAGTCTTTTACATATCATTTACCTAAAAAAAAAAAAATAATAATAATAATAAAAATAAAAATCGACTCACGGTTGGTTATAATGCATTTAAATTTAAAATATGTAATATGTCCCTGGTGACATTGTTACATTAGTTATACGTGAAAAGTGTTTGTCCCAGATGAAAAATATGTTTATTTAAACAGTAATTTTTAAAGTAGTGTATATTAAGGGTTATTTTTAAAATACGAAAAAAACAATTTATAGCTGTATCATTAATAATAATATTCCATTAAATTTTAGATTATTATTTACTTTTACAATACATTTCAAAATTGAATTAGAGGAAATATTTTAAGATAAATTAAAATTATCATATTTTTTTTTTTTTTTTAAACAATATATTTCAAAGTGGAAAAATTCATGGTAATTATATTTAGTAGCTAATTTTCTTGCTAATTCTTCTAGTTGACTATATTTTAGCATCATTTTTCAGATAACATTTTTTTTTTTTCAAATTATTCTAAAGACTTTATGATAAAACTAATATTATATTTAATGCAAGTATGAATGTATTTATTTTTGTTAGTAATATTTAAATTACATAATTTACATAATTGGTGTAAATAATAAAACAGTATTACATTTTACCTTAACGATGATTTCAAGAAATTCAATTTAAAAATGTTTAGTAGAATTTTTTGAAAATAAACTTTGCTTGAGATTCGTGCATATAATATTATTATGAATATTACTTTTCATTTTAAATAAAAATATTATGTTCAAAGTTACGGTGGCTAAAATTCATTTACTTACATATTTCCAATTTCAATTTTTAAAAAGTTGTTATATTTTTGTAAAATGATTGGTTACAAAATAAATATAGCTTATCAAATATCTATCTACACACATGTATTTGACTACCTATCTACTATGTTATTATATTTGCTAAAATAATATTTCATACATTTTTATATAATATAAAATATGCTGGGAATGCTACTTAAGATATTTGTTTAATTATACTTTATAATCTTTATCTTGTTTTATGAGATTAATGACGTTTAATTTATTTTTCAATTTAAAATAAAGCTGAATAAACAGATATATTAAATACACATTATATGAAAAGTATCTTAAAACTTTTTACGTCATCAACTTATATCAATTTTATTTTATTTTTTATTATGGCCTACTTATTTTAATTTAATTTTTGATATATATTTGTATTTAAAATA